TCTTTGAGCTGATAGTCATCGGCTTTATCTTCTAGGTCATATTTGATACATGACAAGCATCGAATACACAACACTGCCTCTGTTAATTCTTCTTATCTCTCAGAAACAGTCATATTTTTATTAATGAATTTACGCAGATTGCTTTCTACATAGAAGCACACATTTAATTTTTGTCAAAGCAGTGATTATATTTTATAAAACAAAAGTCGTTTTAATGACAGGAAATTGATAAGATTCCTTCGCATATTTATTTGAAATTACCATAACACTGACGATTTCTAAACATGTCTAAGCGTCAGTTTTGTTTACTAATATAGAATTCGTGTTTGGATGGTTCCAGAAATATAAACTGTGAATGAAAGATTTTAAGGCTGAACAAAATTGAAAGTTTGTTTTTGTGTATCGGTTTCCAGCAGGCAGATCGACCTTGTATGGATTTGGCTATTCTTTATAGTTTCTTTTTTTGGTCATATAGCTCGGGTATTTAAGTATTTATACATCCTTTGGTTAGCATTTCGGACGCACCAAATTTACAAAATGTTGTTCTCATTTTCAAGAATTGTTTCGTTTTTCTGGTGTTTATGATAAATATCGCCACTTTAACATTAGAGGATACAAGAAATCATTCAAATTCATTAGTCGAAAACAAACTGAAAATACCCTGGCAAAAAACTGAAAACGATCAAAAGACAAACAACAGGCAGTATACAAGACACAACATAGAAAACAATAGATTGAGCATCACGAAGCCCATCAAAACACAACATAGAAAACAATAGATTGAGCAACACGAAGCCCATCAAAACACAACATAGAAAACAATAGATTGAGCAACACGAAGCCCATCAAAACACAACATAGAAAACAATAGATTGAGCAACACGAAGCCCATCAAAACACAACATAGAAAACAATAGATTGAGCAACACGAAGCCAACCAAAAACCAGGGGGGATCTCAGGTGCTCCGGAAGTGTAAGCAGATAGTGGTCTACATAAAGGTATTGAGACTCAAGATTTAACAATCACGACAAATGACACGAAATAAAACCTCCGTAAAAGGCAACCAAACACAAACTACAGGGAAAACGAAGATAAGGCATTGAAAAAATGGTTGAGATAAATCGATGGAGCGTCTAAGAATATATGCGTTTTGCATGTGCTCACATAATGGTCGTATCAGTGGCACCGTGAGTATCTATGGTTTATTGTCGCTGTAGAATAGTATAGTAGTATTTTCTCACCGATAAAAGTAGAAAACCCGTAGTACTAGATATACTATAGTTTCAGTATAGTCGTAGAAGTAGAACATCCGTAGTAGTAGTTATACCATAGTTTCAGTATAGTCGTAGAAGTAGAACATCCGTAGTACTAGATATACTATAGTTTCAGTATAGTCGTAGAAGTAGAACATCCGTAGTAGTAGATATACTATAGTTTCAGTATAGTCGTAGACGTAGAACATCCGTAGTAGTAGTTATACTATAGTTTCAGTATAGTCGTAGAAGTAGAACATCCGTAGTAGAAGTTATACTATAGTTTCAGTATAGTCATAGACGTAGAACATCCGTATAGTAGTTATACTATAGTTTCAGTATAGTCGTAGAAGTAGAACATCCGTAGTAGTAGTTATACTATAGTTTCAGTATAGTCGTAGAAGTAGAACATCCGTAGTAGTAGTTGTACTATAGTTTCAGTATAGTCGTAGAAGTAGAACATCCGTAGTAGTAGTTATACTATAGTTTCAGTATAGTCGTAGAAGTAGAACATCCGTAGTAGTAGTTGTACTATAGTTTCAGTATAGTCATAGACGTAGAACATCCGTATAGTAGTTATACTATAGTTTCAGTATAGTCGTAGAAGTAGAACATCCGTAGTAGTAGTTATACTATAGTTTCAGTATAGTCGTAGAAGTAGAACATCCGTAGTAGTAGTTGTACTATAGTTTCAGTATAGTCGTAGAAGTAGAACATCCGTATTACTAGATATACTATAGTTTCAGTATAGTCATAGACGTAGAACACCCGTAGTAGTAGTTATACTATAGTTTCAGTATAGTCGTAGAAGTAGAACATCCGTAGTAGTAGTTGTACTATAGTTTCAGTATAGTCGTAGAAGTAGAACATCCGTAGTACTAGATATACTATAGTTTCAGTATAGTCATAGACGTAGAACACCCGTAGTAGTAGTTATACTATAGTTTCAGTATAGTCGTAGAAGTAGAACATCCGTAGTAGTAGTTGTACTATAGTTTCAGTATAGTCGTAGAAGTAGAACATCCGTAGTACTAGATATACTATAGTTTCAGTATAGTCATAGACGTAGAACATCCGTAGTAGTAGTTATACTATAGTTTCAGTATAGTCGTAGAAGTAGAACATCCGTAGTAGTAGTTGTACTATAGTTTCAGTATAGTCGTAGAAGTAGAACATCCGTAGTAGTAGTTATACCATAGTTTCAGTATAGTCGTAGAAGTAGAACATCCGTAGTAGTAGTTATACTATAGTTTCAGTATAGTCGTAGACGTAGTAGACGTATCATCATTGGTATAGTGGCAACAAAAAAAGTAATAGTCGTAGGAGTTTAGTATTTTGTGTCATATCATGTATATAATACTTTAACTAAATGGCAATTTTGCAGAAAAAAAATAATATATTTTCTAATGCAATCATTGTTGGTTTAACCCTATACTTCACACAAATTAAACTGTTTTTCCTCTATCATGATAAAAATCAAATGCCATGGCATCTATATTTTACGGCAATTTGTTCTGCTTGTAATTTTCCCCTTAGTTTTTGATCAAATTCTAAATCGCCATTCAACCTTTTCCAAATACAAATTGAAGTAACCTTTAATTAAAGTGTTGTCATTTACATGTAATATTTTGAAAAATAGATTTAATGTTTTCTCCTGTTTCATGCAAAATATATAAGATTAAAATCCACATCTCTGAAACGGTCCATTACATGGAGATTGGATGGGATGTAAAATGAAATAAAATGGTTAATCGAATTGACCTTCTTACAAGTGGAAGTAAAGTGAACAGATGAAAAAGTTCACTGTCTGTGTTAGCGACCATCAGAACTGATATTCATTTGCATATAAATCACCCCGCCAATCTCACGATTGCGATGTTATCTTCCAAATATGGGTATCATTGTAATTGTTTATGTGCAAATTGTCCGCTATCAGATGATTGATTCGATATTTTTTATCTATCAAAATCTAAATCTATTTAAGAATACAAAATAAAAACCTGATATAAAACATTGCTGAAGTCATTTTCTGGATTTCTGGTCGGAATATTTATACGAATCAATCAGAAAGGAATCGACGTTTCCTTGGTAACAATCTATGATCTCTATCCTATTTCTCTCTTTAGAATATCATAATTTTTCCGAGTGACAACATTATTTCCTTGGTGGTAACTCTTTTAGGGCTCATTGTGTCTCACTACATTGGTTTCTATTTCATCTAAGCACTTCAAATTTTAATCCAGCAGATAAATATTATCACTTTTCACGTTCAGAGTTATGAGCAAAACTGACTTTAAAATGAAATTGCATGTTATCAATTTAAAATGTTAAATTATCATATTTAGGATATTCCATTTAATTTCTATCAAAATATGTATATTATATAAAATGATGTTTTAAGTTGGGATATTTCAACTACTATTTCTTAGTTATATGGGCACCATTTAGTAACCAGTTTACGCCGTTTCTCGAAACAATGGTGGAATTATATAGAACCCGATGTATATATCTAAGATTTTTCGGCTTTAAAAACATTTTGTCTACGGGCGTTCCCGCAGAAGATTAACACAGAAAAGCGATTACAGCACAGGAAATTGAGTATTTGACTATGATGCACTTTAAGACAACTATGTTCCCATGTACTTTTATTTCTCCGTCATTACTACAACTTATCATGCTTATGTTGATCATGTGATATAGTCAGGATATAAGAAATAATACCTATACTTCCCTGTGTCAGATCTACAACCAAATGGCAACATAAATGAATTGACGTCCTTTGGCAGAGTGCAAACTTGTTCCTCAACAATGGCCATTTTTTATTCTAATATTTCATTTTGAAATTATTGACAGTTCTCGAAAAATTTTTCAATATATATATATCAGTAAAATATCGCAGCCTATATGTCAAATACAGTTTACCGTTCTTTCGAGATAGAATGCATGTATGTGTATCTATCTTAAGTCTTAAATAATCGTCATCGATATTGATAAGTTGGGGGAAATCGTGCAATTCTTATCATATACAAAGGCTTTATTGCACGATAAAGTTTAGGTTGATATAGATTATCGACATTCCATCATGTGAAAATTACAAAGGTAAAAAAGTCAGTTATTTTCGGTTTTTTTTTATATATATATACAATTAAGAATAATTACAAAAATTAACATTAAAGATAAGGCAATACAATACTCAATTCGTAGACCTTGCTTTATTTGCTTATTCTCCATATTCGCAAAATTTTTTGCAAGAAAATAATTATGATCTTGACATTGTAACTTACGCTTGTGGATGAAATACAGGTAAAGAGATAATTCAATAAATAACAGCAACAAGGATTATCATTATATATACACAATATTTTATAGTTTATTCTTTTACTTAAAAGTCATAACGTTAAAATATTGATAAAGTTCGATAACGAAAGGGCCCTCTAACCAAACACTTCATGTCCTAGTAAATCAGTTAAACTCGAAGTCAACCTGTTTATCCAAAAAATATAAAATACTTTTTCCAATGACGGATTATTATTCTCATTTTCAGGAAACACAGCAGAAAGATCTCTGACACAAGTAAAGTATCAAATGATAAATGATTAATCTGTAAATCATTGTAGACTCTTATTAATGCAACAACACGAATTTTCGTAATCGATGCAAACCGAGAAGTCATCTATCGTTGCTATCAATCATATCATAGCATTCAAATTTGAAAAAAGATACCTCCAAAATACGAGAAAAAAAGTTGACACCTAGGGAAACGTGTCCCATATGCAATTCTTCATTTACCTTGAGATGTTATTTTTATTTTTTTGTCTATATCTATATACTTCTTCCTTGCGCAAAAGGTAAATGCCTTTTTTAAAGACGTCAAATGTTGGTTTGTTTAAATGCAGATATGTTTATAAAAATATCACACACTGCTTTGCGTGCTATATATTGCTGAATAATTGAGATATTTCCTGGATCGAAGTGAACGTGTCCCTATTGATCGTTCCATTATATTATGTGCTAGTATTTACATCAGCGATAAGATGGACAGCCTGCCTTTAAATCGGATCAGAAGCCCAACATCTTACAATCCTTTTATCAGCAAAAATTCAAACTAGTCCTTCTCTGCACCGCTCAATAATGTTTTATCTTCTCATATATAAATGACAAACGCTTCACTTTTGTCGTTATTTCTTCAACGTTAGTTCAAGTTATTTTTTGTTGCTTTTACTATATATTTTGATATTTTGGTGGATTTTTCCGATCTTTTTTTTAAGGATTACAGTTTTGAGTAATTGTGAGAATTTTTGATGGATGCGTTTTAGGATTATAAGAAAATTATAAGGTTTGTAGCTGAATGTTTGAGAATGCTTTGCTTCTTTAATCTTGTTTAGGATATTTCTAGGAATACATAAAAATATATAATCTTGTCAATGGGTAAAGCATTCAAGAATTAAGTAAAAGTGATTCAAAATGTAAGTTTTCAAGACTTCCGAAAGTCAGCAGTTTATGGTATCTGAGTGTCGTTAATTATTTTTTTAATGTAATCCGTCACAACACAGGAACACTTTTTTTTAAGAAAAAAAAACAATAAAAGTTTTGAAAATTCACTCAGTGACATAAGAAAAAGAGGCTTTTTCCAGTTAAATAGTTACGTGTAAACAGCACACCATATATAAAATGGTTTACCTGAAGGGTGGCCGTTAACTATATATCGGACACCACCAACACTTTTATCAACCACGTTGAGCTGTAAACTTGTACCAAAATATGTCGAGTTAGTGTCGTTCGTTTGATTGTTTGTTTGTTTGGTATTTATTGTTTTCTATAACCGCGGACAGTTAACTTGTTTAATTATAACAAAATTAATTTTATTTGAATTATATTTATGCCAGTCTAATCGCTTCCCATGCTAAATAATACATGTTTGCAAAACACACACACACACACATTGTAGCACAATAGAAATGAGAAGTAAGAATATACTTTATCTTGGGAGAATGAGAACATGAATGTCCATACGTCTATGTATACTCGAATGAACACATAGTTTGACATTTTTTCCAATGTGCAGTTTCAGTCACCGTCTATATCACAAATTTTCCAAAGGTTCATTTTATTTTTTCCCATATATAAAGCACTTGACATAAAAAAAAAGCAATCTTCTTCACACCGATCCAATTTGTGACAAATCCTTTGCTAAAATTAATTAAAGATTCAAAATTATGTGACGAGCTGCATGATTAAACAAGAAAAAGTCTAAGAACAAAAATATGCGACGACCCCGTTGCAGCCAAACTTAATGGAAATTATTTATTTAAGATCATCTCTGAGAGTTATGACAGAAAACATATAGCGCCAACAGTATACACTGCCATTCATTTTGCCTGAAAATAGAAAATACAACAAATACTTATAAAAATGTTTTAAAAAAAATCATGTAATGAATTGGCAGCTTTAATCGTATCAACCATATAGAAACTACTTTTACTACCAATAGAAAAAACAAATAATTTGATAAAAAAAACAAAACAAAAACAAAAAACAAATTATAATTCGATGGCCCTATGATAATCAATAGAAAAACAAAGTATATGGGAATGAAGCCCATTGAACTTGATAAAACTACTACATTTGTAATTCAGAATTAATTAAAGATTCACGCAATTCATAAATTTATTTGAACTTAATGTGCATCTTAAAAACATTACTTTTGTGATGATTTTCAAAGACATTAAAACTTGAATCCTAGCTGCTAGAGAAAATAACAGTATTTAAAAAAAAATGACTTGTGGAATCCCTGAGCTAATTACAACCAACTTGATAAGAATTGACCTGGGTCCTCCACCAAATACATATGTATATATCCCATGAACCCTTCAAATGTACAAGAAGGTTATGGCCCCTAACTGGCTGATCCAATATTAACATTTCATCAGAAACTACCTATATACTTTGCTGATTTGACTTGGATGATATAATTAACGGTATGGATATGAGGGGGAATGTAAATAACCTTTCCGGCTTTTGTTTTCTCGCATGTAAAGTTACAGATTTTAAACACATTTCGTTTTTAAAATCTAAAATTGCCTACTTTAAATCTATAATCATGTATATGAATAGTAGGGTATATGTAAAGGAGACAGCAACCTAATGGCACATACAAACAAAAAGATATATAGAGGTCATCGTATGGCCTTCAACAGTAGGCAGGTGTCTTTACAATATCTAAATCGTCCAGTCTATTTAAGTTACGAATGAAGTGTTGAGTATACAGAGAGTTAAGATTAAAGTTTTAACATTCACAACGCACTTTTGTAATTGGCAATATTTGAAAATTACGTAATCTTAAATTATGAAATAAAAAATATGTATTAAGCTGTAAATACATCATAAGAGTGTGAAAGTTAAAGTATGTAAGTGAATTTAAAGTGTTTTACAAATTGCTTAAATCGCTATTCCACAGCATGTAAATGATAATAAAAGTTCGTAATTTCTTTACATGCTTTGTCAGATTCAAGTATTACATATTTTATTATTAACATAGTCTTTTGATTTAAGCACGTTAGAAAATAGTGCATTAAATTGATAAAAGGAGAGTTGAATGATAAATATTTTGATTCATATTTTCTGAAATCATTGTTTAATTATCAATATAACAATTCTTCTGTTTTACTAGTATGAAGATTACTTTAAATATTAAAATGATGGCTGATAAAACGATTTTTTTTACAAAGCCCTACTTTTCCCTACCATGTTCGTATATATATTCCCACGGTAGACTTTCATATATTGCTTTTGTGCTTTTTTCTGAAATATTTGAAAAAATAAGTACATTCAGTAAAATAAATATAGAAAATGGATATCAATTTCAATGGTGTAAAGTTAATTTCTCTTACTTGGTTATAACATGGAAGTATAATGAAGTTATGATAAAAAATTTGGTTTTCAGAGGAATTTCTCTCTCTTTTTGTGTATGAATCTGTGTGTGTTGTTTAATCTATCTGTATTAAGTTTTAACAAATATATGCTTTGTGAATAGTTTTTTTTTTATTCCAACTTAAGGAAGTGTAAGTCTCCTCTCCTTTAAAAAAGAAACTTTTGTTGAACATGTTTTTTTTAACATTTGAAAATACATAATGTAGCTTGTCTTGCCAGAATCGTGATTGCAGAATCAGAATGCAACACGAAATAGAATATTTTAAATTTTAGTTCGACATGAAGAACACCATTTGCCTTGTGTTTTCTTTCATCAAATTTTGCACTTTGTTAGCCTGTTTAAACGAAATTCCCTTGGTGGAATGGCTCAGCATTTTAACGATCTTGCAGATTGGGACTGATAAGAAATTCAAGGATTTAATGATGTAGTCTATTATTCAAATCTTATCATAATCGCATAAACAGAAATAATTTTGATAAAATACAAGATATACTTATAAAACGACTAATAAACGAAGTGTTTACACGGGCTTTGAACGTTTTTGATGTATACGATATCATCTTAACATGCAATTTATTCAAAATAAAATATCTTGTACGATTCTTTGATCTGCTATCACAGATGTTTATTTACATTTTTAATCTTAATTCTTAATAAACCCCATGATGAAATTTGTAAGTGATAGGTTTTTTTGGTTAAATTCCTATGAGTTTAATTCAGAACCCCAACAGAAATTACACATCTTTTCACTAAATACTAATTCCCATTGATTCAACGCTGTATGTATTGTTCATATTTAAATAATTTCTAACTTTATTTTCAAATACACCTCACCGTTGTTATCTCAAATGTTTTTTGCAAATCTTATTATTCATTTGAAATTCAAATAAAAAAAGAACAAACCATTCTTTTTGTGAGAAAAGGCCACACAAGTATTTTAGGCAGCTAATTCCTTTTTAACTGTACGTTTACGAAATTGAATGTAATATTCATTATAAACATTAAACATACTGAAACAAAAAGAATCTGTTTAGTATGGAGCATAAGAAAATCAGGAAATACAAACAAAACAATGTAAAAAGACGAGAAATTATATATATAATTGCATGTATTTTATTTATCCCAGCCAAAATTTTCAATGATCTTTAAATTGATTTTTTTAACTGAAGAATTTCGTTTTTATTTTTTTAGGACATATACATGTCGCAAATAACAGTTCTAAACAAGAAAGAAGTTAGAATATGACTGTACAATCGTACATCTTATTTAAATTACCCGAGCCACAGACACGTCTTAGCGCAGTTCTAAGGAAGAAAGAAAGCGAGGAATATATTCATACCGTAATAGTGGTTTTAATTACCCGAGCCACAGACACGTCTTAGCGCAGTTCTAAGGAAGAAAGCGAGGAATATATTCCTACTGTAATAGTGGTTTTTAGGACCGTTATCTCATCGAAACATAAATCCACATTATCATACAGTTATTGGCCATAGGAATTAAACTTCTATCGATCAACTCTTATCAGTAGAACCAGAAGACCTTCACCAAAACATACGCAGCCTCGTTCAAAGTGAATTAATATCATAATACATTTAATGCCATACGATTAATTTTGCGTTATCTCAGTTTTTAAGACTGTGTTGTTTTTTAACGATTCTTTATTTGGCGTTACAAATTGTTAATTAGTTTTAACTACGGAAGATAACGTTGCTGATTTTTAACTAGGAAATTATTCTGTACACCTGAACAGGTTAATTGTTTTGTTGAACAAAAGAGGGATGTTTACTTTCTTGCATCACAAGCTAGATGAAGTGTATAATTAAATCAGCACCATCACAATTTTGAATATAATGACAATCATTTAGATAAGAGAAAAACCTAATTCATCATCTAACTCGGAATTATTCCTACAACAATTTACACAACGGTAGCGAGGCTGGTAAAACTAATTTACCATGAACTAATATCAAGGTGTCATCAATTGAAATATATGTGCTTTTGTAATGTTTATTTTTTTTTATTTCCTTGTGACTTTTGACTTTTTTTCTAATTAAATGTAAAAATTGAGACGAAGTTTTACGACAATTGATGTTGAATAAAATCATTTTATTTTTTGCATGTTTACGCGTTTGCACTTTCTGACTAAATCCTAATACAAGGAACCTACAGCAGAAAGTTGTGTTAGAATGCTGTACATAAAAGTATACGGTTATATACATAACATCGGCACAGGATAAGCCATGTATATTTATTACATGGACGAACCACCTTACGTGACAAGATAACGGCTAGCCTGGGATCCTGGCTCAATGCTACTGACGCGAAAAGGAGGTCTGGCTAGGATGCCAGGCTAGATAACACCTATATCGAATACATTATATTTTATGAGGGGTCAGAATTACTGACTGATTACAGTATCAATAAATTGACTTCTCAACGGTATCCGTTCATATCCTGTTAAAGATAGAGCATAATTTGTCTGTTCCAAAATTAACTTTTTACTTAATACATTTAAACTTTCAAACGCAAACACACACATACAAACAAATTATCATTAAACAAAAAGACAGTAAATCATGTTTGTTACAAGAAGTGGCTCTTTCAAAAATATATAGTTACGCTTTGGTAGTAACAACAAGGCATACACATCGGTCATTGAGATGGTCTGCTGCAGTTCAATTTGTTAGGCAGTCGGACGGACCTTTCTAGATGACCTTTTGCCATTTTTTGTGATTTGAAGTTAACCACTGCAGAAACTGGTCAGAATAATGAAGTTGACCCCATAAAAAGATAATGAAAAGTTCACTTGTAAATTAACATATAATCCGGAAGCACGTTCGCCATAATGTTTCTCTGCACGCGATCAGCACGAGACTTGATAAAAATGTTAAAGGGATTTGACGAGATGTTAAGACAAGTTGTCATCTTGATTAAACAATATGTCAAACTTATCTCGTTCCTTAAACTCTTAACTTTCTATATTAACCACAAAGTTGTCAAATAAAAGTAATGCCTCTTTGTATTTCTTTAATAATATCAGTGCTAAGGATTAATTCTATGTTATATTGTCTTTTGATAGCCAACAAATTTCGTTCAATGCCAGAAAATCACTTTGGCGTTATTTCTAAATTTATATAATATTCACTTTCGTATTGGATTTTGTGAAGTCCTGCATGAGTTACAATTGATACAAAACGTCTTCATTATACAAATTATACAATAAATAAATTCACATCAAAACATCCTTAACTGGATTTATTGGTCTCATTGTATCCACAGAATGGCGACTTAGCTCTAAAGTGTTTTCCTTTCAGAAATAACAACGAATCTCTTGGGAAAACCTACAGATCGTCCAAATTCACAAACTTGCATCAAAAAGAAATTGAAGAACGATCAGCTTATCATAGAAAATTGAACGTCACCTTATCTTGATCAGATCACGAAGAAAACTGCACAAAAATGTCCGTCAATACCAGCTAACTGCTTTCTAAGTGCTTGGCCGACTACTGCCTCTGTCAGTGGGAAAAGAGCTATAATAATTGATGACTCTTATCTATCTCGTCTATCAGAAGAAAAATGGCATAAAGATCACAGAGCTGACTCGAGGATGAGTCTAAGCGATCTAGGCAACATTTGCCAGTTTTCAATGTAACAATTAGCTTTATTTTTGTCATTTTCCAAAGCGAAAATGAATCAGGAACATATAAATCTTTGTCAAATGAATAAATTAATGTGTATCGATATCTTTAGTCTTTTTTGTCTTGAAGACTCAATTAACATACGAAGGTAAATATTTATTTAATGAGGACAATTTACATCATTGTTCATTTAATTTAAATATAGTTAACTCAGATGCCGTTACATTGCTTTGACAATTGATTTTTTTAATGGTGATACATCTGTTTCAAATCTCAAAAATCAAATTTTACAAAAGAAAATGATGATGACTTTTGTTTTTCTTTCAGAAACATACCTGTGTAAGGATGTTAGAAATGTAATGTCCACAATTTACTATAAGTTGTGACTCCCAAAATAAACAATTGGTTAAAAAATCAATGTTTTGAATTTAATACTGATATCATAGGAAAATTTATTTTTACCTAAATAAATTCGTTCATTCAAGTTAAATTGCATAATTTTAATATGACAGAATTGTTAAAATTGAAGTAAGTCACTCTACCACGCTATTTAATTGCGATTTCAAAATGTTTAAAGTGACCATTTTATTGGTTATATTGTTGTTCAAGTCATAAATTAATCATCAAAATTAAACCGTAACCTTGAAACCACAATAATGTTAAAATGATTGACTCATGAACATTTAAATTACAAAATGATATTTTTACTGGTTATTGAACTAATTAGACGATTGGCGATTTATGAAAATTCCAAAGTAATGACGGTCTCTGCGGCAAGACAGTAAGAGATGTTCTGTGTTTTGATGGGGTCCTGATAAAACCATATTCTCTTTCAGGATATGGCATACAGTTACATAAGATGCCTTACAATTATTTTTGTTGAAAAAGACTTTATCATTTTTAAAACAACTCCCGTCTGTTTTTTGGGTTCTTGTTTATTCTTATCAATATAAAATTCTGTTCGTTGCTTTTAAATGTCATTTAAGACGTGCTAGCTTTGGATCAAATCGTTAAAAATGTTTTTTGACATGAGTTGTCACAGACTGCTTGGCGGCACCTTTAAAATTTGTATACTGCTGCAATGATAAAATATATAGAAGAATCTTATTAGTCAAATAAATTTACATGTTATTCCTTGGGGTGTAGATGGAAATAATTGATCAATGTTGAAGACAGTTCATCCTTACAGCAATCTGGACATTGCAACTTGGTTTTACCATTATAATATATGTAGGGCATACAGAGACTTTCTTGATATTAAAACTGACATGAGTGAAAATAATAATCATCAAATCTTGACAAAATTGTAATTGATTAATTTCATGCACGTATAGGTAATGTTTAACTTCCACAAGTCAACGCTTACCAAAATGTCTTATAAAATTAAAACAAAACTAAAGACTATTGATACCCCTTTCCCCCTAAAAGTTACTCATAGTGTGCTTGATCAGGCCTGAATACATAGATTTTACTCATAGGGTGCTTGGTCTGGCCTGCATACATAGATTTTACTCATAGGGTGCTTGGTCAGGCCTGCATACATATATTTTACATATAGGGTGCTTGGTCAGGCCTGCATACATAGGTTTTACTCATAGGGTGCTTGGTCAGGCCTGCATACATAGATTTTACAATTCTCAGTAAAAATGTAGCCTTTAATTTTTTTACAGAAACTTTTTTCATTTTCTGTTGTTTCGAATAAATGTGCATGGTCTTTCATCTTTTCAACGTTTATATGGCACTGAAACAAACAAAATTCTTTAAACATTCATATATTTATTGTGTCTGGTTTTGAATGCAATGATTTAATAGAAATTTTACTTGAGTGTTGTTATATATGACTAGTGTTTATAAAGGGGATATAAATTGTATAGAATGCATTCAGTTAAGGAAATTGTCGTAAATTCCATTAAGAATTTGTAGTCACTGAATGTCAATTATTTTTCCTGTCCAGACAATATCTTCCTTTCCTGTCCAGACAATATCTTCCTTTCCTGTCCAGATCACGTGGTCCAGACAATATCTTATATCATGGTTTATTAGTTGCCTCTTTACATACCACAATTTAAGGTTGAAAAAAATATGTTCCTTTTTTGAGATGATAATATATATATATATGGTATTCAAACATACAAGATTATTATGTGGACTGCTACTTATGGAAGATTTTAAATACAGACCAGCATGAACTACTACTTATAGAAGACTTTAGATACATACCAGCATGGACTGCTGCTTATGGAAGACCTAAACTACAGACCAATATACAGGGGGTCGTCATCAATCAATGTATAAAACATCAGATAGCACACCTCCTGTCCAAACAAATATCTCTTATTCCTTACGTGATGAACAGAATATTCATATACGTGAAAGATCGACCCTGCTCCTTTTAACCCCCAATTCTTTACGCTTGTCAACATAACGGTTTGCACACACTTTCTGTAGAAAAAACAAAAGAAAACCTACATGGTATATCTTAAGATCATCAACTGATTTCCAATGAAGTTTACACCTTGGCAGAAAAAGCAAAGATTGGAGATTTTATCAAATCTTGAGAAACGTGAAAATATTGAATAGAAGGCTTTTATCAAGCGGTGGGGAAAATTGGCCGATAAAATCAGAAAATTGTTCGCTACTCAAAACTGCTCATTATAACAGTAAATTTACTACCTGTCAATCAGACCTGGTCGTGATTTTTTAACCGAGTTTATCTTATGTGTTGTAATTTTCTGATAGTTCGAGTAGGACTTAGGTTTTTAGTTTTTCATTCATGCTTTAGTATCATAATAAAACGAAGACAAAAGTAGATAAATCTTGACTAAAAATTAATCAGACGAAAAATATGATAAGCCTGAAAGTCACTGTAGACAGTTTAAAAATTACATAATCTGTACATATTATATTATTAAACTTAGTTGTCCTGAAGAACTTCGATTGTGCCATCCGGCACCACCCAAACAAGTACAATGACAAATTCAGTGCGTTCAAACTCTGTATACTGAAAAACCTTTGAAATTGTTAAAATCAGACAACTAACACATGTTACTGTCCAATTACAACATAAGTATAATATGAAAAACCATAATAATGATACTTATCATATAGGGCAAAGTTATATTTATTACCTCTTTACTTATATGAAAAAAATTGCGAACAGTCTTAAGATAATCTAGCAAACGACAGTTCGAACAATGCAATCGGAATCTTAATCCGATCTACATGCTTGTTTGTTTTTCGCACAGATGCTCCTTTTATTTTTATCAATAAAAAAATGTCTGCTCGCACAAAGATAAAGTTCCCTAATTAATCCGCACAAAATTATCTTTTAATAGAAATATAAAATGTGTAGTACATATATCATATACTTGAAAGCAAAGAGCAAGATAATTTATTTCATAAGATTTTTGTAGTATTTTCAAAACTAAC